ACTATTGAGTCGCTGGTACCTAGTTCGACTCGCTGGTACATCGTTCGACTCGCTGGCGCAAAGTTCGATTCGCTGGTGCAACGTTCGATTCGCTGGCGCAACGCTCGGATCCAGCGATTCGCTAGCGAATCGCTCGATTCGCAAACTATGACATCGGCCTATGTAGAACACTCTGAAACTTTTTTCAGCGATCGAATAATTCGGAGAACTGAATAAATAGTCAATGGGCAGGACCATTGTCATTCTCGAGCATGCAGTAACCCTTCATAAAGTTCTCAAAAACTCTATCCGCCCAAATATTGAGTGTTCATAGAAGCCGGATAAGTGAGAAAGCAGCTTTCAGATGTATGAAAAATTTTGAACAAATCTCACCGACTACAATGTCAACAAGTCAGTTTAGCATATGACCTTGAAAAGGCGTTAGAGTAGTTTGGCGAAGCTTTTTCAAACGCGAGATTCCAAGACCTAGCAGATGCACTCGACTTATTCAGAATAATGAGCGGTGAAACTGGGAGTAGAGTGTATCGAGATGAGCCCGAGTTGATCTTAAAGCAACAGTCCCAGCAGGGTTTCTACCTTCGACCCTAATGGTGTGGAACGGTGCGCTAGCCCTAGTCAAGAACATAAGAAGTGGCGACCACGCTGGCGTCCACGTTCATCGGCGAACTCCGCGTATCAAGCGATAAGGTCGGAGATAGATAGTGATTGCGAGCGTAATCCTATGGAAGATACGATACGATGATAAGAGGATACGGCTGCCTGGAAAGAGGTTCACTCCAGCATGTATCATATCTAGCACGTTGCTACTGGATTCCCCTTCCACGTCTGATACAGAGGTGCAACAGCGAACCGGAAGTGGGTTTCGGCGCCTTATCACGCCGTTGATAAGGCGCCACTGCCCCTGAAGCGTCACCTGTCGTCTCATTGGGTAGGACCCCTACCCAATCCACTATGTCACTTTCCTCATCGTCTCCATAGGGATTCCGTGACCACTTCCTTTAACCTTGTTTTTCTTCTGTAGAACTATGTTGTTCTTCATTCTATCACATCATCACATGTATTACCATAAGATATATGTGCCGCTGTCGAAGGAGGCGTAAGCCCTGCCTGTTACAACAGGCTGTTTACCACGCTCACACTGCTACCAGTTGGCTGGGAGGTAAGTTCACCGAAAATTGTTCTCAAGTCATTCCTTTTTCAAACGCATGTACTCGGTCTTCTGTGATCCCAAGAGCCACATCCAGGAAAATAAGGGATCGCTCATCCTAGTGTGATCATTGAACTTGGCGTGAAGCTGCGTAGCAGCTAGACTTCTAAGGTCGGAACTGCTGCGAGATTGCTCACCTGATTTTTGGAATAACATTGAGAATGAACTTCTCGACAGGACCGCCAATATTAGCTCCACCTCGGAATCCGCGATTCTCACTTCCTGGTACCCAGATGGATGGTGGCGGTTTAGGCAGCGGTTGTCCGGAATCTACAAAATGCAAAAACTGAAGTTCAGCTAAAACTTGTAAGAGAATGGGACTGACCTTGTATATATCGCAAATTGAATCCTGTCTCGTAATCTAGTTCTGTGGAATCAGCGATTATCAACACCTCGGCTTGTTCCGATGTCACTTGTATTTCCCTCTCGTTGCAGCTGCAAATATTTAGTGAAAAGCTGAGCTAGTGCATACTTTTGACCCGTTCTCGAAACCGTTCAACGTGTGCTCACGGCAAAAAACTAGAACGTTTTAGACTCAAGCAAATAAGGCTATCCACAAAATCGAGAAGCGTTGACCATCGATATCGATCGCAACAGGGGCACTAACTTTGACCACCACACCCGAAATCACGGGCAAATTAGTTTTTCGCAAATGCCACGAGGTTGTCCATTTTTTTCCTCGAACACTGTGCACCATTCACCACCACAACTGTTATTTTCAATAGGCGAACAATTTACCGCCATAACGGGCTGTAATAAATAGAAAAATTCCATCTGTCCTTTGGACCATTTTAAACCTAATCATAAACAATTTTCTTCCCCTATTCATATACTCCCTCCTTTTAAGAGAACATGATGCAATCC